GTTCGGAAAAACTCACCTTCCTTGGTGCAAATTGATGGTGAAGTATGTGTTTTACTCTGGGGTCTGGGATCTCAGGTGGGCACAGCTGCCAAGGCAGTGGCATGGCCTGAGTTGTTAGCAGGGCAGTACTTTCCTGGCCTGATTATTCAAATGCTGTTTCACCCCATGCATTTTTCTGAAAACCACTTAAATTCACCCTGCCCATCAACTGGCCTCAATTTCCTCACCGGCTCTGCGCTATTTCTCCCATGTAAACCCAACACAAAGGAGCACCAGCAATTATTCTAAAGGACTTTGGCACTGCTGGGAATGCTACATTTGCTTTGCTGCTCCTGCAGTCTCACAACATCCTTGGGTGACAAGGGAGGTGAAGGTATTTTCACATTGGGTGGGTTTTCTGAGTCTGATCACTAGCACAGGGATAACCAGAGTGGGTTTTGTTTTATTCCTTTGGGCAGACTTGCCTGTGTCCCCATGCAAGCTCAGCACATCCTACAGTGAAGCTTCTGGCATTGAACTCAGGGAGAGTGGGGAATGGGCCATATGTCATGGTGCCAAGACTTGGGCAGCTTGGCCTGAGCAAGGCCACCCATAAAGCTGCTGGTAAAGTATGTCAGGCTCTGTATGTGCTTGGTGTACAGCATTGCTGTGCACATAGGAGGTTGGGTTTGGCAATCTGCTTGCTGCTGCTCTTGCTGGAGTGTCCACTGTTCAGCATGAGCACATGTGGGTCTCGCTAGGCTTCCGGCTGTGTTTTGTTTTATTGTTCTAATTATCATGTTCTTCCTCCCACTGTATTGTAATTCCTTGCTTAGAAAGGCTTCATTCCTTGGTGAAGTACCAAGTATTGTTTTGCTGAGACATGCCTGCTTTCATGCTAATTTTGACCAGTTGGAAAAGTCACATTTTTAATGTCGGCAAACTAAGTTTTGAATTTTAATGAAAGAGTGATTTAATTTTTCGTGAGAGGGTGAAAACATTCCCACTTCTCAATCAGCTCAGTTGAGGCTAGAGAAGCTGAGCTGTCTGCCATCTGTCTCCTTGCCAGTCTCTCTTCCACCATCGTAATTTTTTAACAGGTTGGCCAATTTCAATCACATTTGAAATAAGAGTAACTGTCTCAAAGACAATCATGCTTCTACAAATGTTATCAGCTGACAGAGGATCACTTACAGAGAAGCAGAAAGAACTAGGCAAGGGTCGGTCCCTCAAAACAGCATGCGGCTCAGGAGCAGATACAGCTTGTGCTGCCTCTTCTGCAGTCTGTGCTAGAGCTGGAGGTGTCCAAGGGGACATGGTGGAATTTGATTGGTGGGGAGGATGTAGGGGGACAGAGAGCATAAATGCATAGGAAAATGGGCTTTATTGGTTCTGCTCTTCCCCAGTGTGTTCTTGGAAGTTTCTTGAATTTTTTTTTTAAATGCAAAAAGGTAAGAAAAAACAACCAAACAAAAAATTTCAAAACGCCAACAAATTTTCTTGTACAATGAATTGGAAAATAGAGCAAAAATGAAGTTCTAGTACAGGAAAAACAGAAAAAACTGGTCTTTTAGGATGAAATGCAAAGGCTGCATTTCAGGTGCAGGCAGGAGTAACGTCCCAAATCATCTGGTCCCTCTGAGGTTGGCCAACTGTTGGGAAGCATCAACAGGGTCCAGAAACTAGATGCACTCCTCTGCATTTTCTGTGACAAGTCAACAGCTGGGAAAGCCTTTGAGGGTCTTTCATCTGTCAGAGTCAGCTGAGTAAGCCAAGCCAGAGATCAAAATTAGTCCAGGAAGTAACTCCCTGGATCTGAAACTGCTCAGTGTTTCAGGTACAAATGATAAACATTTCAGGTAAGTTTTATCTTTTGAAAATACCTCCTGCGTGCTGTGTTTAGAAATACAGCAAGTGTGTAGGTATATGCTGCCTGGGAGGACTGGTGCTTTTATATGCTCACATCTTTTGAGCATTCAGTGCTTTAAATGCAAGACAGTACATTAACTCATTTTTTCTTTAACAGTTGGCTTAAGGAGACGTAGCTGCTTTGAAATGAAGGAACTAATTTTTGGCTATTTCTTTGAGGCAGTTAAAGTAAATGGTAATGTTCTGGGGTTTTATATTTCTGATCGCTCTAAACCATTTAAAATCAGATTTATTATAGCACTGACTATGCTAAGCAATCTTGCATTAAAAAGACAAAAAAAAAAAGAAAGGGGGGGGGGTAGCTGCTCTTTTGTTGTCTGCCTGTCCGGGCTTTATCTTGCACAGTATACATTTAAAGTCTTATCTTTTCAAATAATATCACTGTCAATAGAGATTTTGATCCCAGGTCATGGTTCTGTTTAATTTCCACTGCATTAAAACATTGTGTGCTTCAGCTGGGTGGAGATTTCTAAGCAGGTGTCCCTGGCAGAGGGGAAAGCTCCTCTTCAGATGAGGATGGGAGGTGATCTCTTCTGCTTCCATGGCAAGAGGAAGGGAAGGGGATGGTATGGGGTGGGGTGCGATAAAGCATCTGCTGTTCATGTTGACAGAGGTCCCCTTCAGCCAGGAAAGCAATGCTGGTTTATACTGGTGAGGGATCTGTTTCCCTGCACACTCTGCCCCCTCAGAAAGGGGACAGAGAAGAGCAGCTAGACTTGGATTGAAGAATTTGCTCTGGGCTAATCAGGGGTTGGAAATGCTTCTTGGAGCCAGCTGGGGAAAGATTAGCTGACCTTTTGGCTGTAAATTATCGCCAGCTAGTAAGTCCTGATTGTGTGCTGACAGAAGAGGGGAAGATGGGTCTTTGCAGCAGAAATTGTGTTGAATGTTAAAAAAAAATACAATCAATTTCAGGAACACTGGAGTAAGTAAGCCTGTCGTTCATTCAGCTCTTAGTCACAGAGTAGGTGCTTCTGTGTCTTCCTTTTCTATCTCTGCTTACAGAAGTGATATTACTGAATTAATTATGACATCCTTGTGAAGAGCTAAAGAATTGCTCAAGTCCTCTATTCAGCGGTAGGGAAATGTCAGATTCATCTCACAGTAAATTTAAAATTACACCAACCTGAACTATCGCTACTGACAGCATAATAATAAGTCAGGTAATCAAAATCAATTAAATTCCAGTGCCTTCCTATTGTCCTAGAAAATTCAAATTTGAAATTAGTTTGAGTTCATTTGACTTCTCAATAGAAGAAGCAGAGTTTCAGAGATAATTTGAAACAAGTATATGGCCATGACTGATCATTTCTCAAACTGCAAAGACAAGAGGAGCTGAGTGCATGCACATGCATGTCAGTGCATACCAAATACCAAACACAACCAGACACTCGAAGTCAATGGAGTGACTTGTTTGAGGTTGTTGTGTTGGCATATGTCAGCTGGGACTCTGCCTGCCAAGACTCTTTTGGATGAGATATAGATCAGGAGAATGCCAAACGAAGTGTGCATCCATTCCCACCATGTAAGAGGGAGAAGGACTAAGCCTGGTACACGCTCCTCTGCAGGACCTCCATGGAGCAAGCAGAGGAAGTGGAGCTCTGTGTGTCCTACCAGCAGTGATATGCCCAGATACGCTATGCATGGGACACCCATCTTCCAGATCACAAGAAAACAGGCTTGTCCAGGAGCTACAGATGCTGCCAAAATTAATGTGTTCCCACAGCACTTCACCTTGGTTTTGGCACTGGCTGAGTCTTTGAGTCACCTTCAATAGTAGGACAGGGCATGGGCTGGAGTAAGCAACTGCCCAGGTGGTGGTAGCATGAGCATGAGGCTCTCGGGAGCAGTGGTATCCATCCACGGACACAGTCACAGCTGGGAGGCACAAAAGGAATTTTTTGCTTAAGGAAGTTTTATCTTGGAGAAAGGTGCTGAGCAAAGCCCAGGCTGAGTGTCTGGGGCTGATCTAGGTTAGTGTTGTGGTGGTAACTTCAGTGCAGCCACTAGCACCAATCTGGCTTTCCAGAAAAGTTTGTCTTGCCCAACCACTTTTCCCAAGTCACAAGTGGCACTCTTCTTCCAGGGAAGACCCCTACTGCTGCCTGGAGAAACTTTTTTAATAATAATTGAAAAAATATTATTTCTAAACACTCTTCTATCTGCCAGTATCTGCCTACAGAGTTAGGATCTTTGGAAAAGGGATTTCCTCTCTGGGCATGCTACCTTGCACAGGTACTATTTTACTTACTGCTTTTAAACTTTTTCTGAGCTTTGCTGGCTGGACCCTTGGTTATGAGGGTAGGCTGAGTCTGATATCTCACCTATTTCCATAAGGAGGGTGCTCAGTAGTATAATCCCCCTGGTACCTTAGATGCAGGAGTTGCCCCCCCCACAGTAACCTGTTGTTTGGTTTGGGAGAGCAGGAGGTTTGGTTTGTTTTGCTGTGTGGCTTCTATTCCTGCAGTAATCCCAATTCCGGCCCATTGGATTTTAGAATGCTGTGGTGCCTCTTTGGGATCACAGGTGCATGTGCCTGAGTGAGGCCCATGGCATGTGGTGGAACACCCCAAAGGCTCAGGGATAAAAACCTGTGTGCCAAGATGTGGTCGTGGACATGGAGGAAGGAAGGAGCAACTAAGTCAAAAGGGAGGAGTGTGACCCAGAAAGAGCAGACAAGCTGGGCTCTCTGCTCTTGCTACCAGCAGTTTCAGGCACAGGATTATGGTTCTCCCAGTCTCCCCTGAAGCGCAGAGCTCTCCCCCTCTCTCCGTGCTGCAGCTGACACCTGGCACCCCTGCGGCTGCTGATACACTCCCTACGTCCTTCCGCCTGCCCCGAGGGGAGGCGAGGTTGTACTGCCGGGCTGTACCCCCAGCAGCTCTGGCGTTTCACACCCCATCCCCTGCCGCAACGCCCCAGGCAGCTCCTCACCGCCTTTCCAGCTCCAAGCCGCGGCATCTCCTCCATCCTCCGGCTCACCCGGCGCTGCGCGTCCCTCTGGAGGGACCTCCCCCTCCCTTTTTTCCTCCCTCCCCGCGGCCTCGAGTCGCGCCAGTGATGGAGAGAGCGTCACGGTCTCCTAGCAACGCTCCCAGCAACTCTCCTAGCAACCGGGCAACATCTGCTCCCGCTGGACCAATCCGCGCGGGGCACATCTGGGCACCCACCTCCGCGAGCTGCAGGGACCCGCAGGAGCTGCCACCGCCACCACCGCCACCACCACCACCGCCACCACCTCCTCCAGGAGCAGCAGCGCTCCCGGCAGCGAGAGCCGGACGGGGAGCAGCCCCCCTCTGGAGCCGGGGCTCGCTGGGTGAGTGCCGTTGAGTTGTTGCTGTGCCAGTGGCAGCAGCCGTGGGGTTGTCCGCGGGGCTTTGCAGGCGGGATCTGCCCAAACAGCTTTAGCAGGTGGCTGTCGGTGCGGAGTAAGTTTTGTATTTGTGAGCTCTCGCCTTTGGTGCATTGTGGAAGAGGGCAAAGAGCTGAGAGGGAGGCTAGCTGCTCGTCCTGCAGCTCTGCTGGCTGTGGGCAGAGGTGCCTACTGCTCTGCCAGATGCTGGCATGCTCTACAGAAGGTCATTTTAATCAGAGTCATCTTTTTACAGTCAAAGCTGAACTCTGAAAAGTAACCATACCTACTCTTTCTTTGCCTGTTAATGAAGTACCAACCTCTAGGATGAGGCAACTATCTAAATACAGTTGTCTTATAGCTGTGAGATGCAACGTATGTGCTCTCTTTTTCTTTTCCTCTTGCAGGATTTAGACCTGCTTATTTACATTCATATTCATAAAAAGTGTGAGTGCCTCTGCATACACATGTAAAAGTGCAGAGTTTGGACATGCATGTGCATATCTGTGATTGTTTGTCCCCCGGAGTGGGAAATATTCTTACTACAGCGTGCCAAACTCTCCCCCCAGAAGGGAATGCATTGGCCAGATGCTGATGCATCTACTTGCAGCCTAGAAACAGTACCATACATAAGGCAAACACTGAAACATGCATGCTGCAATAATTCTGTTAAATGAAAACTGCAATCTGACTTTCCCCAGACCTGTATTACTCTACCGGCAGTGTGGTGTGTATGATAGAAAATTAATACTACTACTCAAAATAATGGTGTGGTTTTAATAGAAACCCTTTAGCCTTCCTCCGAGGCTGAAAAGAGTTATGGAGAAAATAATGTGCCACTTTAAGGGGTAGTGTTGAGGGCAGTAATCATGTTCTAGCTCAGGAAACTTCCGGATATTTAGAGGAGCAAGCTGTATTTTTTTTGTGGCGTTTACTCTGAGAGGATTACAGTTATAGCTCTGAGAGACTGAAATGATTTTTCTTAATGGTTTATTTTGCTTTTCTGATGTTTGAAATAGAGTCCAGGAAGCAAGGTCAAAGTTAGAGAATTGGATGTGACATCAGAACCCTTATTTTCTCCCCTCAGGACTGCTGAAATAGCACTTTCGTCTCTTGTGGTCCAGTTACTTGCTGTGTATGTTCTGACTTTGCCACCTGAACCATGTGTGTTTCTCCTTGACCCACCATGACAGGTAACCACCCAGCAGAGCTGTGTTGCCAAAAATGCTCACTGAGCCTGTGTGAGGAGGAAATCTTACCAGAACTGCTGAGGTTATCCCTTTGCAGATTGACTTCTCATCCTCAGATAGCTAACAAGTTTGCAGACTTCAGCTGGTCAGGCTTGCCATCAGTGAGGGGTATTACTTGGATCAGTGTGGAAAGGGGGCAAAGCTGGAAACATGAATTTATTCTATTGATAAAAGCAGCAGGACTACAGGGAGCAAGACAGGAACAGTCGGTCATTAAGTCTCATGTCTTTGTGCACTCATGAGAGCTATTCAGGTCTTTGTGCCTTACACACATGTGTGCCCAGGGAGAATCTGCAGTTAAGGTATATCTGCAAAGCAATTAGGAAACTAAAAGAAAGGCAGTTTTAAAGTGCAAACCCTGCAGCTCCAGCCAGCAGACAACAGCGCAGCTGTGGGTCCCCAGCTTTCTGAGGGTCAATTAAAGGGGGCTTTCTCTGCCTGAGTGAGGAATAAGACTCGATACTCTGGAAGGACAGAAATCGATTGGCAGTCTGTGTGAAGTCCTGGGGCTGACATGTGTTTTCAATCCACATGCTTACCTGCCTGTGGTCTGGTAGCTTTGCATTATCAATTGGGAGTCCCACAGTGGGACCAGCTGCTTTTCCTGCCCCAGAAGATGGGAAATACAGCAGCGTAGCATATGAAATAGAGGAAGGTTTCGGCTGAGTACCCTCTAATTGCAAGTGCTGCTAAGGTTAGAGATGGGGGAATTTATCACTGCAGTTTGACAGCAGTAGGAAGGACATGATGATAAGCCTTGCCATGCCAAAGTCACGTCTCCTGCTGATAACAAATGACAATTTCTGTGTGCTTAGAAGCCTAAGGTTCTCTATTTGTGCATGCAAGAGGTGTTCAGAAATGGTTTCCATCTGAGCCAGCTTTAGCTTGCATATTGATTATTCTCCTTTACACTGCGATAGGAAACCCTGCAGGGCACCAGCACATTTGACTCACCGCCTTCCGCGCGCAGTGTTGGAAGGTCTGTGCTTACCCCCTGCAGATGTCTGCATCAACAAGCCAATAGTACCAGCTTGTACAACCCCTTTCACTGCAGCACTGAGCAGGCAGGGATGATTTTCTTCCTGAAGAGAGACAAGTATAGGACCATTCCCAGGGTCTCATGCATGAGATCTGGGGCAGAGCTGCTGTGCAGACCTGGGGCTTCCAGATCCCTCTCTGTTGCTTGGGATGGAAAAGAACAAGCTTTGTGTTTGTTTTTTTCCTTGGCTGTTCAATCATTTGTTAAATTCTGTCTTGCCTCCTGTCTGAGCTATCTTACAGCCCTGTGGAAATCACCTGGCACTAATTCATGCCAAAGAGGGGCTCCTGTCACTGGGGTGATGCAGGAGCACAGGGACCAGATGAAGAGTACTTCTTGCAATTTACAGTTCAACTATGAAGTTGCCATGTTATAAATCTATTTACAGTCCAATTTAGATAAGATAACCCTCTGTCCAAACATGCCTGATAACTCTGTGGGTACCACGCATACAGTACTGTAATTATTCCTGTAGAAATAAATAGGAGCAGGCATATTTTACTCTACTGAAAGTACAATTAAAACCCTCATGAAGCTGCATTTGAGAGATCCGGGCTTGAGACAGACACATCTATTCCCTCACTGCCACGCATGGGATTTATGTTTCAAACTTCAATTAGTGTTAATGGCAGCTACAGCCGCTGTCCTCCGATGTGCAGTGAATTCAGAGCAGGCTCCCATCGACGGGGTGTAAACACTGGCCAGCATGAGCCGGCAGTGCCTGCCCTGTGGCTCCTGAGCCCTGACAGTGCTACCTCCCTTTGCCAATTTTACTGAGCCCTTAGTGACTGGCAGAGGGCTCACAGCAGAACGCTGGTGGGATGCTGAATGTGCTTTTGAGAGGTACATCCAGGCTGGAAGGACAAACTGCACTCTCTGGACTCAGTGCTACACTGGTTAGTCCCCATGGGGATATTTGGCCCTGTGCCTTGACTTGTGGTGTAGTGCTGAAAAAATGTAATGTGATTAAGATGTATCTGTCTCTGAGCTTGACTGAGGCAGAGGCAGTGACTCATACCACCTTGCTGTAACTGTCAAAACACTTGGCTTGTGAGAATAGCCTTCTACACAAAAAGCACTGATTCAATATGTTTATATTTAAACAAAACACTAAGGGTCTGATTCACTGCGGCATTACTACAGCCTTGTATGCCTGTAACTCCAGCTGAGCAGCACAGAGCCAGTCTGCTCTGACTTTGAAGATAACTGTTAGAGAAAGGCTTGTTCCCTGCAAGTCTCCTGCAGGGAGTGATGCCCCTTGTATACTTTAACATCAGTGCTGGTGTCGAGGGCACAGTGCAAGGACATATAGCTCAAGCTATCATTCCCCTGCACATGCAGACAGATGTGTGGACATTACCAGCAGCCGCAAAAGATGACAGTGGGAATGAGGTGATAGGATGGCAGCTACACTGAGCACAAGAACAGAGCTTGAGCTTCTGTGTAGCAGCCCTGTGATGGGACTTGTTTGCCTTCAGGTCACTTTCTCATCCTGTTGCTACAGACATGCAGGCAGCACCCCTTCCCTGCCAGAGAGAGGAGGTGGAACCACCTGTAGGAGCTGCTGGGCTGGGGAAGTGAGTGCCCCAAGCCCTGCAGATTTGGAATTGCTGGAATTTGCTGACAGCAATCCTGGTGGCGAGCAGTTTGTGGCTAATTTGTTCTTAGAGTGTAGCCTTTTACTTACAAGTGGGCACATGTTTAAAACCAACCTTCTAGCCCAGAGATGCTCTTGGTCCTCATTTGCTGGTTGTTTCCCTTCCTTGCTACTAAACCAGGTTATGTGGGCTTGTTTTAACTTTGCCACTTTGTCTGGTGTAAGTCTTTAGGAATTTAAATATAGCCAACCACTTTGCTCCTGAGGGGTATGTCCCAGGCTGGCCCTGATGGGAAAAGGGGGTGCCAGTTGGATGCTCGATGAACCCACTGCCGGGGTGTTCATATGTGTCCCCCTGCAAAATACTGTTCTTACCATCTGCTTCCACCAGCCAGCATCAGTTCCCAGCCTGTGGCATGTGCTCCAATACAGCCCTCCATCTGAGAAATCAGGGTGTCAGCACTCTAGTGGCTCCTTGTGTTGTCCTGGCTCCCTGCTCTTTGCTGGTGTCTTCAGGACCACCCCTGCTCAGGGGATGCTGAAAGTCCCACTATCACCCTCCATTTCTGGGGCATGGAAAGGAATTCCAGTGGCCAGGAGCAGCAAAGGAAAGGTTTGCATAGAGCTGGCAGAGCTGAGGGACAGCACCACAGAGCTGTGATGCTCTGCATGCTGTGGTTGTCTGTCTTGCCCCTGCACTTGGGCTGATTTTCTGCTTGCACACACATAGTGCTGGGTCTGTACTTCCAGCCTTTTCACCGAAAACCACTAGGGAGCAAACTTTAGCATTTAGAGGCTTGGTTTGAAGGGGAAGGATGGGCCCATGGTTGGCTCATCAACCTATACGCTGGGTTTGGCTCCTTTCAGAGCCCTGACAGCCTGGGTGGCTGCAGGAATGTCACTTCATCTTCTATACCTTTGTCTTCTGCAGAGTAGTGTAAGGAAAACTGTAATGTTCTCCTGTGCCATGGTGCTGGGAGGATAAATGCATTTGTGATTGCTCTCAGATAACACAGCAGTCAGATTTTCATGTAGGAGAAGCTAATATCAGAGTAATTAAATGTTCAGGATGTCCAGGCTCTGGTGAAAATTAAGTACTAGAATAAAACTTGGAAGCAGTTAAGGTTGCTGCCTATGAATTTAAACCGGTGTTTGCAGCAATTCAGTGCTAACAGAGTGGAGAAAATGTCAGCTGTACCTGTAACCTTGAGCTGAGGTCTGTGCAGAGAGCACCTCTGGTGTGTGCTGTGATCCAGGTCGACTGAAATGTAGCATTGTCCCACTGCAAGAGCAATGGTCCCTCTCCTGGAGAAATGCTGCTGTTTCAGGCAATCTATGTTGGGCTGGGCTCCAGAGCAGGGCTGGGTGTCTTGCCTCCAAATAAGGCGTTAAACCACCAGTCAAGAGTTTTCTGCCCAGATTTGTAGCATCCTTTATGGGAAACCTCCACACCTCCCTGAAATTTAGGGAGAAAATAGAAGAAGATTCTCCTACGAAGAGATTTCTTCTTCAGTCCCTTCTTAAGAGTTTTTGATGTACAGAAGGAAGGAAGAGCACATTACTCCTTCCTACCAGTGAAGGAGAGATGCCACCAGTCCCTGAAATAGTTGTGTGGGTATCTTTTCACTTCCACCTGCTGGTAAGACTCAAGGAGCCCTCCAGGCTCCATGGCAGGATACTTCCAGGGACATGAGGTCTGTGTTTTGGCTATGTAATATATTTTTGCCTTTCTATTATGGCAGAGAAATAGCCCAAACCCAAGTCCTTTTTTTCCTCAGAAAACCTAAGTCTCAAATGGCCCCTAAGGAGATCTCAATTTGGGGAAGAAAGCATATCCCATAGGACCTGACTTTGAGTTATTCTAAAAGGTGCCTTAAAACATCAGCATAGTAAATAAAAAACAAAACAAAACCCACAACAAAACAAACAATCAATCAAAAGCCAACAAAACCATAGTGCATTTAAAAGCAAACAACAGAATTTTCTTACAAAAGATTGTTTGGGAGGTGATGATGCCACCTGCATTGCTCACCATTTCACAGAGGTGAGCGAGCTCAGAGCAGACCTCCACTGGGCTCTCATCACAGGAAAAAAGCCCAATAGTTCCTTCTCTTAGCCCAAGGGCTGGGCTTCTGTTCTCTGTGCCCTGAAAAACTGATGCACCCCAGAGAAAAATCAGCTCCATCACCCTCCCACCGAGATTAAGGCTTTCCTACTTCTCTGGGACGACACTACCATCTAGTGAATACTCTCTGTATTGGTTTTCTAGGGAAGCCATGGAGCTCTGTGTGTGGTGCGTAAAAATTAAAACCCACCCCTTGTCCCACGCACACCTCAGCATGCTCTGCAGACGTGTGGCCCCATCCAGGCCCCTCCTGCAGCTCATGGAGATCTTCCTGGCTTGGGCATTTCTCTGTGAGGCTGAGGCTGGCCAGCGGTAGCCCACTCGGTTGTAGAACCTGGAGACCCTGCCCAGCAATGGCAGTGTGTGCCAGCACTGTGGTTGTCACTGCGAAGCAGGGCTTGCTGTGATGGCAAGCCTCAGGGCAGTGGCTCAGAAATGCCTTCACATTTGCCAGCCTATTTTTCCAGTGGGTTGATTGCTGCATGTCAAGGCTGAGTGTCATCCTGTCTGCAACCCACCTCTGGACCTCTCCTTCCCCTACACACCCTAGGCCATGATGTTACAAACACCGTGGCAGCAAACTTTACCAAGCTCTTTTTCTTCTTGTTTTGTGCAGAGCTGATCTGATCGGGGCCTACCAAAGACATTAACGACGTCGAAAGTAGCCTACTTTAAGAGAAAATATGCAGAAGAAGAACATTTACATCAAGATTACCATGACTATTGTCCAGAAGTGAGTATCTCTCTCTCATTCCAGACCCCACCCTCCCCCTTTTTCATTTCTCAATCCTAAAGATCCATTTGCTTGCTCTTTACTCCCCAGCACGTGATACTACCCGAGGACCGGACTTGTATTTTAAAACTTTCTCTCCAGAAACTCCGATTCCTGGATGACCCTGAAACCTACCTCCGTAGGTCTGTATTAATTAACAATCTGTTGAGGAAGATTCACCTAGAGACAGAGAGGGAGAGCTATGAATACTTTAAGGAGGCTTCGTGTTGTAGGACAGCTTACTCTGATGCACGAAAACGGCTGAAGTTTATGGTACAGGAGTGCTGTTCCCAGTCGCTCTATTATGAAAAGCTGCATTCATATCGCATCGTGCCTTACTCTGCAGAGAACGCCGTTTACGGAATGGGCTACACGAACAGCCACTTGGAGCAAAATTCTCAATTGCTTATTTATAAAATGAATTAAAGCAGCTGTTAGACCCACTGATGTTTGTTTCTGAATGCTTGAACTGCTTATTGAGATGTTAAGATGAGGCACTAATTGCAGATACACATGTGATCAGAGGCAGATGTGTTCAGAGCTGAGTGGAAGGTACTTTGAATAATGCTCTGCAGTCCCCACTGTTAACCCCCTGGTTATGAAGTACCTTGACACACACACACAGAGCTAGTGCAATACGGAGGTCCTTATCCACAGAGACTGCGTGCAATGTGTTTCATAGAAACAAAGCTGTGTTTAAGTTATCTGTGTGTAGATGTTCAAATTAACTTTGCAGTTAAATTATGCCATCCCCATTGGAAGGGGAGCCCCTAAAGCAGTGGAGTAGTCTAACAGTGAGGAGCAAAATATAAGTTATTTACTACAAAGGTATAGATAGAAGGTTTCTTTGAGAAATGCTTTGACCATGAAGGAGTCAGTGCCAAAGGAAACAGCCTTTTGCTTAATATTTTCAGAGACTTAACTCAGTACTTACACGACACTCTGTACTGAGATTTGCAATGTTTTGGGTTTATTTCTTTTTTTTAATAATTGCATTCATGTTTTACTTATCTCTTAGCTGGTGTCTACTTTGCTATTTTAATACAAACCAGAATGACTCACAGGAAAGATTGTTTCTTCAACCCATCATCAGTGTTTCCTCAACTTCATCTGATTTTTTCCCTAGCTGTATCTCCCTGATACTTCTTTGCATGCTAATTTGCTCTTTGGCCAGAGATTCATATTGGTGCTAGGGAATAGACAGTTATTTCTTTTTATGTGGAACGTAAGAGGCAGAAACACAATGATAACTCTCATAGATAGAGAATGAATGTATCTAACAGATGCTAGTAAAACCTCAGAGGTTCTCCTGATGAAACTGCTCAACACTAGTAATAGTGTTTCAGGTTAAGTGAAATGTCTAATTTCAATCTGGGAATTAACCTTAGAACATGCAAATGTATAAATTCACAAGCTATGACATGGGAGATGTTCAGCAAATTGATGATTACAAGTGGAAAGTTTTATAGCTGCCAAAATGTCATGAAAATACCAAAGAGTAATATAAGGGAAAAGATGATGCTCCAGCAATGGGGTCAAAAGCAAAGATTGCACTATAACCTGGTGAAATGTGATTAACGAGCCTGTAAACTAGCTGTTACCAGTACACCTGCAGCTCACCTGAGAGTGACTTGCATCCCAGAATTGCTGAACAAATATATCAGCTGATCCAAAGCCTGTCAAAGTCCTACAGGTCTGTTGGCTTTGCCTCGCTGGCTATCAGCGCTTTAAAGCAAAAAGTAAATAAGCGCACATGCAGCTGGAGGCAGATATGTATCTAAGAACCTAATACTTGATTTTGAAAGGCTTTGCTCATGCAGATGTGGCTCATGCTATTTCTGAAGCATTATACAGTATGAACAAATACCGTTACTTGCCAGGGATGTGTGTCATGTAGGATTCCTTCTGCAACCCTAGTCATGTGTGCTGCACCTATCATCGCATATCTCAGGCACATAATTAGTGCAGGAGAAGAGACAGGCAAAAGCAAGAGGTGAGAAGAGCAAAGTTAATTCTGACATCAGTAGTCAGAAGCCAGTACAGGTTTAGGAGAGAGAAGGAAACAGTGAAATCCAGATATTTATGTAAAAAAAAAAGGGCAACAGTCTAAACAAGGACAACCTGCAAACTGGAGAACGTAAACAGTACAGATATTGTGGGAAGGCTGGAAAAACAGGGCAGTGCTGTTTGGGAGGTGCTATTAGTCATGATGAATGTTAGGGTTTTGTTTTTATTTTGAGACAAGTCATATTTACTTGTCTCTTACAAAAGGGTGTCTTTAAACCCTTGGTCAGCGTAATTCGGTGCCAGAGCTGCTTGGTTGTGTGTGGTTATATTTCTGCTATCCCTGGGCTTGCACAAGCCCGAAATCCTGTGAGTGTTTAAGCTGGTATGAGGGCTGTTGTGAGAGGTGCCATTATACGCCAGGGAGCTCTCTGGCCTCAGGTGGCTGCTTGCATGCCTCATGCAGACTTAGGGGCGGGGTAGGGACCTTAGAAGACCACAAGGTAGTAAAGGAAAATCTTCTGATTTTTTAAACTATGTAATTTTCCCCTCAGAAGTGATCTGATTTATGCACATTTTTTTTCTTTGTGTCCATTTTTGCCTGAGTTCATAATGATCTAGCAGCTACATGAAATGCTAGAATGCTGGTTTTTTTTTTTCTCTCTCCCTGACCTACTTTAATATATTCATAGGATGGTTCTGGCCTGAATAAACAAAACTTTTTACATAAAATTAATCATGTTTCAATGGAATGAAAAAGCTCAGTAGGATTAAAGCCTTTGACCTCACCTGAAAAAACCCATTGCCCCTGTCAGATTGATCGTTGAAGAGCAACTTTGTTGCCCGCTGGAAGAGGCAGATACTTTCTTGCCCATAGAAAGCTTCTAGGTAAGGTGTTACGACATCTGAACAGATGTAACAGACAAAAATCTGATCAGATAACAACACTCTTTGGGCTACCTGTGAAAGAGGACAGTATTTGACTTATTTGACTCATATTTTTCTCATGTGTTGTTTTCTTGAAAAAAAAAAAAAGTCTGATTTTTTTAAATTATATTTTTTTACTCCTACTTGCTTTAGGAGCTGTTAAAATGGGTTATTTCTTTCTAGAAAACAGGTTTTGTGGTTGACTTTTTGATATGAAGTTGAATTAAACGACACAATTTTAAATATTTTAAGGTTGCTCAAGTTTTTACTGCCTTCTGCTTTGCACAGTGATTTGTGCTGTAGAAAAGTGGGTCTGGAATATTCTACTTTAGTGCTTAAAACCCACAGTTTATGGGTGATAGAGAAGTACAAAAGTGCAATAACATTGCAAGTTGCTCCCAAAATATTTAATTTGACACTTTTTTGAATTATATACTGATTTTAACATTTAGTTACCAAGTTACTGGTTATCAGCATTTAAATACAGCTACATACAGTGATTTTTCTTTTTCGGGTTTGTGGCTACAATTCAGCTCTTCTGGCTTCTGATGTGTGAATCTGTCTGTAGGTGGTCAACTTTCAGTGATATATATACATATATTCTATTATGACCGCATTAGGAACGCCCACACATGGGCTATGTTTGCACTGGATGTAAAGGAAGTCCTTCCTTCCCTTTGACTCAGTTGCCTTGGAGATAGATAGTATATTCATCAGAGAGAATATAGACGTGACAGGGGTGACAAGGACAGACTTGGCAATGACAGCTGAGCATTTTGAAAATGACTGGCTTAGGACAATTCATTTTTGTCTGGGAATAGCAGCACACTTGACTGTAATTAGTGTTTCAATGAGTTAAGTTTTCTTTGTGCTGCTTTTTCTCTAACTGGCTGTAAATGCTGATCCTGATCCTGAATGCAGAAGGGTCTGTGGTGGCTCTGTTGGAGGCATGGTCTGGGTGCATGCATGAGGTCATCTTCTGGGGCCACAGGAGCTGTGGCTGAAGGCCAGAGGGGTGCACATGCTGGGAGGCAGCCAGGCTCAGCAAGGAGGCATCTCTGCCTATGCGACCTGGTGCGGTCACCCCGACCTATTAGGGCCCTGATCCTGTAAACACTTCAGTTATCATCTAAGTTTCTTTGCACAGATCCTCTCGCTAAAGCCAGACAGGCTCCTCATGTGCTTGACACTCAGCATATATGAGGGTGTGCAGGGCCGGGGCTGCTGTGGCTGCTGTGCACTGCAGAAGTATTCGCTCAATTGCCTAATTATCCTAATTATCAGTGAAAGTGATTATTGAGCTGCCACTTGAGTTCTTGACTACATTTATATTGCACTGTAAATTGAACTTTTGTTTTCAATGAATGTGTTGAGTGTATGGACTATTGTGCCTTAAAGTCCCATCCTCATATGAGCCTTTGTATATGTTCTGTAAATCTGCAAACTGTCTGTAGCTGATAACTCTGTGCACTCTATACAGATCCGGTTTGGTACTCAGCAGGACCTTGGGAAACATGACCCTGACCTCAGTTTGCCATGAACACAGAGGGGATGTGGCAATTCCCTCTTCTCTTCTCTTTTAGATTGCTTTCCTCTTTGCTGTTCATGAGATTCTGTTTTTCTGGTTTCTGTTGCAACTGGGTTCTGGGTTACCCACAACTACAGGTAACCTCATGGAAACCCAGAAAGTTGTAAAAAAGTTGTCTCCAGCTTTTAAAGGCCATCTGTACAGCACGCTCTCAGCAGGGGATCATAATTGCATATATCAACTGTGGCAGGTGTTGTCAAGTATATCATCATATATTTGACAGAATTAACAAAGCAGAAAAGGGATACCTATTTCTACTGAAATGCATGAGCCTGCATTATGTTAAATACATGGTGATTATACACCACTGAATTGGAATAATACCTACTGGTTCTATAATAAAAAAAAATGATTTTTAATGTTTAAAGTTACTTGGGACCTGATTGAAGGGTTTTATGGAATTGTTTTCTAAAGTGAATAGTAGAAAAATGTATATGTATTTTAAATATACGTATGATGTGCATGGTATTAATAAAGATCTATTTCTATTGAACCAGACAGACTCTCATTGAATATATGGTATACTGGTTTACAAGTTACCATGTTACTAAAGACAGGTTTCTAACACCATCCATCCCTGGGTTCTTTGAAGGACCTGGATCTCAGGGATGAAGCTGAACCTAACTGATGTATCTGATGTGCAGAGCTGGGGCAACTCCTCTGGATGCTGGGCAAACCCTGGCATCCACTTGTCCTGCCCTGATGCCATTGTTCACATTCCAGCTTGCCTGTGGACTTGCAAGACTCTTTTCCTTGTCTATTTTATTTAAAAGTCTGCAAGGAACCATTTTTCTAATGATGTTCTATAGAGATGCCAAAGAAGGGACAAAGGTAAAACAGGAGCTATAGGAGTTCAGGAAAATGGGATTTTTTACAAAAAATCCTGAGTAAAATGGAAAGATCACCCTCTCTTTCACCCTCAGTG